AAGAAGGCTAATTTTATTCCTATGCAGGAAAATGTATACCTCTCCATCTCCTCGAGTTTTCTCAGTGTAGCTTTGTAGTTTTTTTCAGAGGCAATTTTTTGAATTGGGCTTTATTTCAAAAAAAAAAAATTGCATATAAACAAATCTGTGTTAAGTCTCTATTGCTACTGTAAAAAATTACCCACAATTATAGCCACTTAAAACAACATAAATCTACTCTTACATTTCTGAATGTTAGAAGTTCCGGGCTAAAATCAAGGTGTCAGCAGGGCTGCATTTCTTTCTGAAGGTTGTAGGGGAGGATCCATTTCCTTTCTTTTTCCAGCTTCTAGTGGCCACCCACATTCTGGGTTAGTGGCGCACTTCCTTCATCTTCAAAGCCTGTAATGTTGAATCTCTCTGGCTTCTTCTGTAACCACATCTTCCTCTGATTCTCTTTTTCTGATTTCCTCTCTTGTCTTTAAGAGTCCTTGTGATCACATTGGATCCACCTGGATAATCCAGGCTACTAGCTCTATCTCAAAGTCAGCTGATTAGCAAACTTAATTCCATCAGCAACCTTAATTCCTCTTTGCTGTGCAACCTAACATATTGACAAGTACTGGAGATTAGGATATAGACATCTTCCCAGGACCATTACTCTGCCTACCACATCATCTGCATCTAAGTTTAGTTTTTAATTGCAATAACTAGCTCATCACTATTTATTGATACATGTATTGCTCCAATTCTTTTTTTTTTTTTTTGGTGTTCAATAACTTTTATTTTAGAAAATTATAGTCACTCTCATATATTTTAAATTTTTGTTGTTATTGATACATAAGTAGCTGTACATATTTTGGGGGTGCATGTGGTAATTTAATACAATCATATAATTTGTAAAAATCAAATCAGTGTAATTGAGACATTAATCACCTGGAATATTGGTCTTTATGCTAGAAACATTTGAATTATCCTTTTCCAGTGATTTTGAAATGTACAGTAGATTACTGTAAACTATAATCTACTGATCTATCAAACACAAGGTTTTATTTCTTCTATCAAACTGTATATTTACCTCCATTAATCAACCTCTCTTCATCCCTCCTCCCTCTACCCTTCCTGGCCTCTGATAACCACCAATCCAATTCCCATAAATTCTGATTTCTATTTTATTTAACACTACTATTTCTTAAGTTTTGATACTATAAATTGACACAAATCATGTTTTTATAAAATGTCGGGGAATAGTATACTTTCACTCCCAGTTATTTCATTCACCTTACTAATAGTAAAAAGCACCTAGAAACCTCAAAAGCATTATGTACAAGCTTCAGGTATGGGATGATAGGGAGAAGCTGGGTGGTTATTTCCCAGAAACTTGTACTCCAACTGTGATCTTTGGACCAGCAGCATGAACATCATCTTCTGGAATCCTGTTAGAAATTCAGAATCTCAGGCCTCAATCCAGACCTACTCAATGGAAACTTGCGTTTTAAAAATGCATCACTGTTATTCAACATAGTACTAGAAGTCTTAGCCAGAGCCATCAGACAAGAGAAAGAAATAAAGGACATCCAAATTGGAATGGAAGTTTAATTATCCTTTTTTGCAGATGATATAATCTTATATTTGGAAAAACCTAAAGGTTCTGCAAAAAAACTATTAGAACTAGTAAACAAATTCAGTAAAATGGCAAGATAAAAAAATGAACCTACAAAAATCACTAGCATTTCTATGTGCCAACAGTGAATAATCTGAAAAAGAAATCAATAAAGTAATCCCATTTATTTACAATAGCTACAAATAAGCTAAGATATATGGCCAAGTGCAGTGGCTCACACCTATAATCCCAGCACTTTGGAGGCCAACACAGGTGGATCCCCTAAGGTCAGGAGTTCGAGACCAGCCTGGCCAACATGGTGAAACCTTGTCTCTACTGAAAATACAAAAATTAGGCAGGCATAGTTGTCGGTGCCTGTAATCCCAGCTACTCGGGAAGCTGAGGCAGGAGAATTACTTGAACCCAGGAGGTGGAGATTGTAGTGAGCCGAGATTACGCCACTGCATTCCAGCCTGGCACCTGACGACAGAGCAAGATTCTGTCTCAAAAAAAAAAAAAAAAAAAAAAATTTAATGGGGAAAGAATCATATCAATGGCCCTGGATCAACTAGGTAGATTAAAAAATAGATAAATAAACCTTAACCTTTATCTCACACCATATGTAAAAAGTAAACTCAAAATGGATTATAGATCTAGAATTTAAATTTAAAACTATAAAATTTCTAGAGAAAACATGAGACAATCTTTGAGACTCTGGGATAGACAAAAATTTCTTAGGACACAAAAAGCATCAACCATAAAAATTTAAAAATTTAAAATTTAGTTTAATCAAAATTTAAAATTTTTGCTCTTCAAAATATATCTTTAAGAAAATGAAATTGCAAGATATGAAGAGAAAATATTAGTAAGATATATCCAGCAAAGGTTTTGTATGCAAAATATATAATGCAGTAACAATAAAACTAATTAATTAATTAACAAAATAGTTGAACAGACACATCACATGACATTATATATGAAGAGATAATAAGCAAAAAAGATGTTCAACATTATCAGTCATTAGGGAAATGAAAATTAAAACCATATACTCACTAAAATGCCTCAAATTAAAGACTGACAATACCAATTGTTGGATGTGAAACTCTCATACTTCTGATGAGAGTATAAAATCATACAACCAATTTGAAAAACGGTCTTGCAGTTTTTTGCAAAGTCAAACATACATTTACATGTGATCCAATTCTACATAGGTATTTACTCAAGAAAAGTGAAAGTGTGCCCAAAATAACCTAATTTATTGATGGCCATCAAGAACTGGAAACACCCAAATATTCATCAATACATGACAGAATAAACAAATTCTGTTGTGCCAATGCAATGAAATATTGCTCAACAATAAAAAGGAGCAAACTACGGATACTCACAAGAACATGGTTGAATCTCAAAAAGAGCACATGGAGCAAAAAGTGGCCAGACACAGAAAAGTGCATACTACGTAATTCAGTTTATATGAAACTCTAAGAACAATAAATCTTACCTATAGTGACAAAAATCAGATCTTTGGATGCTTGGGTGGAAAAACAAGGATTAGCTGGGAGGGAACCAAGGAAAACTTTTTGGGGTGGTGAAAATGTTTTTATCTTGATTGGAGAAGTGGTTTCATGAGTATATGTATACCTTTGTCAACGCTTATCAAACTGTACAATTAAAATGAGTACACTCTATGTAAGGTAACTTTACCTTAAGAAAGTGTATTTTTGGCCGGGCGCGGTGGCTCAAGCCTGTAATCCCAGCACTTTGGGAGGCCGAGGCGGGTGGATCACGAGGTCAAGAGATCGAGACCATCCT